CTTTTTAGTTAAACCAATCGCAAAGCAGAGAAATCACTGGTAATGTTTTCGTTACGTATGTATCAGCAACTCGGTATAATGTTTGGATAGATTAAACAAAGTGCCGTCTCTCTCGCTCTGATTAAAGAAATCTTATTAATTATAAACGCGAAATTTTATGTTTGTTACTTTTTTACGCAAAAACTATGGAATGGATTTTGATGAAACTTAACAGTAATATAGGTTATATACCAGAATAACATATAGGATATAAATTTAAAGCGGGTGAAGCCGCGGGCACAGCTAGTATAAATATAGTTATTCAAAGAAACAATGTATATTTTTATAGTTAATAGTTAGTTAATATTTTGATTCCATCACCACATTCGAAATACAGCAACACCATCAAAACGTTTTGGGGAGAAATTCGGCTTGTGCTGTACACATGTTGTACAAATTTTCATTATTTTGAATAAACACAAAAAAAGAATACAATCAAAGTCAAACTTCTAGCGATCTTACTTATGTAGGACTATTATGAATTGTTAAATATACATAGTACAGTCCTATAATATGTATTTCTATTGATTGTAATCGAAAAAAAAAAACGCCAAAACATTTAAAAATAACTTTTTATATAACTATTATATGATTCTTTTGGTCATGGCAAACTACAAAAGAAACTAGGATATAACCATGAATCTATCCCTTACCAAAATTCCAAGTCACTTTAAAGATTAATATTACTAAATATCAGTTTAACAAAAATCTCGTTAACAGTCAGTTCTATTAAAAACATATTAGATATTTTTGGAATTTCCATTGGAAAAAAGGATGATGATGAAGATTTTCTTTTTTGTCTCGCTTTTTTGTAATCGCTACTCTGATTTGTACGTTTATATTCACTAATATATTTTAATAATAAAATTTAAAACTTCGTTACTATTTTCTTCGCCAGAGCATGACAGGACGCAAACGGTTAGACGCAAGCGCGTGAGGTTAGCTGTGCCTAAATAAGAAATTCTCGCACATCTTTCTTAATTATAATTATTGACGCCCATTAGTTTCTCTCTTTTCGTAGATAGGCAAGGTATATTCAAGTTAGAACTTTGAAGTAGCTTAATTATATATATGTTTGGCAAAACCGCTCAGCGGATATACTAATATCAGTTATAATGCTTAGAATTACTAATTTAAAAAGTTTTATATATTATATAGTTTATATATGAGTATACATGTGCAAAATAAAAAGTTAAAAAACTTATAAAGCTTATATACTTGAGTAAGATCAGAAATGCACTAAGATGTTTAAACTATAATTTTACAGATATATAGATAGATAAGAATATTATTTTTATCTTAGTACAGACATATAGGATATGAATGACAAGCGATAGAAATTATAGAATATTTAGAGACTATTGAATGAGGTTAAACTTACATATGTGTGCCAGAAGAATATAATGAGCTATGTGCGCTAAATTACTGACTTTCAGCTATGACCGTGAGGTAGTATTTTACACCACTTAAAAATCTGATGGATAAGAGTAGAATAAAAATACATCTTTTTCGTTTCATTCCAATCGAGTAAAAAAGTTCTAAATCACAAGCACGTCTAGAATACAATATTATCTGTTATACACCACACAGTCTCTGTGCCAGGGACACCTTGATTGACCGAGTTTAAAAATTATTTATGACCTACCGCATGCTAAACCCGATGTGCATGCAATGAAATGGAGGCGATTCCATTAATATTAAAATATATAGAATACATTCCAGTTTATTGATATTTTACAGAAAGCTATTTTACTGTTTATTCAGGTCTGGAAATTAGCTTTTGGTTAAAAAAAAGTTTGACAATAATATATATGACAAAACGAAAAAAAAAACGCACTTCCCACATCTGTAAATGATAGTCCTCTTAATAGCGATAATAAGAATATTTTATAGATATACATAAATAATGTGCAGCTAAAGATTCCTCTGTACACAGCGAATGGAATGGAGGTACAATGGAACTTACTGTTATTTCAGAGAAAATTCAAATAGAATGATTATAATTGTTTTTAATCATTTTATAGATTTGATTGAAGTTTCATGACGTATACTATTAATTAATATTAATCATATATCGTATTTTTTTTATATACTATATGCTAAAACAAACAAAAGAGAATCCGACACGGTGGAATATGGTTAGCAATTACCAGGAATTTATAGACGAGAAGGGAATCGATGAATGGGTGATAGCTCTATCATTATTTGCGGTACATAGACATAGGCTTTAGGAAAGTCCGAGATAAGGCAGGCCATACGTGCGTTATGTACATTGCTACAGCTCATGACAAACATTTATCCATCAGTATTATAACAAATAAGGGAACTAGCATCTTGTAGGTTATTACCTCTTTGTAGAATTTTGAGTTCTATGTTACCGACACAATCAAAACTTTGGGTGTCAATTTATAATTTTGACTTACCCTCAGGTCAATACCCCACATTTATGTGGGTTTCAAATATAGCCAGTGAAATGTGGGTAAGTCAAATGACAATGACGGCAAAGCCTCTGAGTATTGGGTTACAAGGGTTACCCCAGTATGGGTACCCATAGGCATTGTCAGTTGTGATGGTATATTATTATTCCATAAATAAAGACACCGAACGATATATACTATATACGCCTATAATTCTATAAATAATGTAAGACAGTAATAAGATGCAAAAGGCATGACAAGTGATACCTCATTACCGTGTAAATTATACCTTCATGAGTACTACTTACGACACGATAGTTTAAAAATTCTGACTTTCCCAGGTTGAGTAGTGAGAGTAAATTTTATAGTTTCACGTCTAGCATAATATAAAGAGATATTCAATTATAAAAATACTTATCAATGTAATATAAATCTACATTATTACGAGGGAGATATCATTCATTTCATTAAAAGAATTGTACTGAGGTAGACTGTAAAAACTCGACTACGTGTATGCCTCAATCTATCTTATTTCAGCCGCCACGCAGCTTGCTTTCTATGCTGAGTGTCAGTGGAAGGGTGAAGATGAGGAATTTAAATTACAGAAATTAGAACCATAACATCTTAGTCTTCTGGAATGGAATGAGTGGTATTACGGGCGTCACATGATAACGTAATGTCCGTGAAGCTACTAAAACATACGAAATAGAGAACGCTGTATATTTTGCATAATATATCTCTAATGGGTTAATAATACCTATAGTTCGTAGTAATAATCTAATGAGCATATTTCACAAGCAGAGCCTGAAGAAAGATCTAGTCACTATATATCTAGATCAATTATGCGTAGTAATAGACGAATTCGAAGTACATTTCTAGTACTTACAAAATCAATAAACAATGGTACCTTTTCAATGAGTGAACACTGTAATAGTAGGGTGTAATAGAAATAATCTTTGCTCAAATAAACTTAATAGAAGCAATTTTGAATAGTGATTTTTATGATTATACTGCTTCATTGGTAATGCAAATTCTGAGAACAGTACAGGTGTGTATAAATAAAAAGACAAATGCGCAGGCATACTCCACATAAAGTGGTAGACTGAACTGAATGCAGTCAATTACTTTATAAGTTCGTATTAGTATACCTACGACAGCAACATATATTTATACGCGTAATATCGTTAATTCCTCCGTGCTAATACTAAAAAATCAATTCACAATATTTGACAAAAACATTCATTAATTGATTATTACATGTAAACGCCGTTTGAAACTTGTAATAGCTTGAATCTTTTTTTGAATGTTGTACTTTGCATTATCTGGCGTTTTAATTTTTGTACTATAAATAGTATAAGCAGAATCAAAAGACAAATCATGCAAAATATTGCATCCGGAATCTGGATAGGCCCACTTGTTCTCTTCACAACCCGATTTCTCCTCACAGCATTACAAGTGAAGTTAAAGAAGTTGTTAAGATATGTAATCTTAGGAAACGCTGTCATAACGATTTTGTACGAAGTTCTGGATCTAACAGACTCTTTAATATAATCTTTTAAAGAGATATCGAGAGAAAATTCACAAACAAAAATATGAGCTTTATTCTATACATATATTATGTAGATGGGCTCTTGTCTGATGGTTCGTTATCATTTTTACCATCAGCCAATAGCAAACGGTCGGTGGCCAGTTTCTACATTAGATCAAATACATCCACCCACCCACCACCGTAATGAAATTATGTCATTTCATCACAATGATCACTGTGTACCCCATTTGAGATTACAGGCATTCCGATTTTACATTACATACTATAATTATAAATGCGAAAATGTCTGTCTGTTTCTTACCTTTTCAGGTTTAAGCGACTCCAAAGAATCTTGAATGGAAATCGTAAAGACAAATTGGTATATATGTACATTGTACGTACATATGTATATATGTATTATATATTTCTCAACGTCTGTAAGTATTACCGTGCTGAAATCGACCAGCTACTCGGGTTTGTTGATAATAAGATGGTCAATAATTTTGCTATATTTCATAAAAACAAGTGGATATATGTTCATTATTAATCATGTCTAGTCAATCTATCCAAATAGGTTTGTTTACTAGTAATTTATGTTACGTCAGCTATATGTGTATATATACATATTTTAATCCGCCTGGAAGTTCTATGAAAAGTTTCGCCGTGTTTTTATTCATTGGAAAACGAAGCAACTTGTTAGTTTTAATTAGTGTACTACGAAAAAATTGTGAACTGTTGACGGGGATTAAAAAGTGTAAACAATATATAAATAATCCCGAAAAACTCACACAGCGCCAATTAGTCAAAAAATAATTGGAGTTTGTATGGACGCATAGTAACATTCTTTAATTACAAGTAACACAATATAGAAAACATTTAAACCTATATAAAAATAAACAGTTACTAATAAAAATGTACTACGCGGGGTCGAAACCGAGGCCAGAAGAAGGAAGCGCTAAATCGCGAAGCCAGACTTAAATTTATTAAAAGAGTTGAAATTAAATGTATGCCTTTACCTTGAACTGTGTGAGATACTCTTGTTGTCTCGTGATGTCGGTAGCCAAGATCAGGGAGCTAATATGCTTCTCCAGCCTGGGCTGAGATTCTTGCATCTCGTTCAGGAGGCCACTCTCCCTGATGCAGCTGATCGCTGCCCGCCAATGATGATTCTCAAGTACAGATGTGTTCTGTGCGTAAATAAATGAAGATTTTAATTAAGAGCGTAGAGGCTGCCATTTTCAAATTAACTGAATCGAACTAAACCAGGCTTATTTTCTAGAGGAAAACTTTGTTGTCTAAGTACTGAGGTATCCCAGTTTCAATTAATTATGCGGTTAGCAGTTTGCATTGCGAGCCATCTTCCAGTTTAAACTAAGAATTAGAATTACGACAGGGAGATTAAATACAGAGTATATCAATTGAAATAAAACAAATTGTTAAAACATATTCTAAATGAAGTCTTGAGGTAACAACACGAAAATATGAAATAACAACTGTTTAATCCTATTCTTTTTAAAAATTATTAAAGCGAAAGATGCTTTGTTTGTATATTTACTAAGCTTACAGTCTTAACCACAACAAGTCAATACTATAATATAGGGGGGAAGGGGATTGTTAGTAATGTGGATTGATAACCCCATTGCTAGCAATGTACCATGTCAGGTCGACCTCCACGCGGTTCCCCCTGGAAACCATCGTGTTAAATTCCTGGTGAATTTGTCGCGATGGGCTAACTGACCTGACCTCATTCTCATCTTATCATCTTCCACTGGTGCCCCGCCAGCGTAAACCGATAGCGCAGGCGGGTGCACTATCCCATTATCATCCGTAAAAAAAAAAAAAAAAATACTATAATATATGCCATCAAAAACATAAATGTGAAATGATAGCCGAGTTTAATATTATGATATATGCCGATTGTTGACTTCTACGACAAAAGAGGTGAGATCTAAATGGGTGCCAAGTTCAATGGTCTGTCCTGAAATGTATTTATAAGAATATAAAATATCATTTCTTCTTATAACTTAGGATAATATACTGTAGCCTAAGGTCATTTTTTCCTTTATATTCACCTAATTACATGCCAAATTTGAACTTCCTAGGTCATCTGGAAGTGGATTATAATTTTGACCAGTGATAAAAATGACGATATTTGGACGTTAATATCTAAATAACCATTTGAGATATGTTTATAAAATTTGGAACACATATTTATCTCGCAAGTCTCAATATATAAACCAAATTTGACAGGTTTATGTGAAAGAGTTTTTGAGTTATGAGGGGGTCAAAAGTGGCTCCAAATGGTTCGTGTAAATATACACACGGTGCTGCTCGCCAGTTCTCTTACTTGAAACTCGGCTTGACACGCTACCGCGTGTCTAGATGTCCTCTATTGCTTACTTCTTCCATGTTCCCAAATAGTTACAGTAATAGTAATAATTGAAACATCAAATTCAATATTTGTTTTACTCCAATATATATAAATATGTTTAAAGAAGTTTTACTTATATAATTACATAGTTTAAAACAAAGTCGTTGTCGCTGTCTGTCCGTCCCTATGTGTGCTTAAATCTTTAAAACTATGCAACGGATTTTGAAGGGTTTTTTTTTAATAGATAGTGTTTCAAGAGGAAGGTTTATATGTATAAAACATGTACACCGGTGCTACGCCGGGGTGGGTAGCTAATATACAATAAAAACTACTTTTTGACTTTATTAACTTTTTTCACCTCTATTTTTATAACTATTGTATAGTTTGGTTTTATGCTTAAGTCGCATAATAATATATCACTAGAAAATTTCTTTGAGGATAAATATTACAATTGTAATATTTATCCCAAAACATGCGGACATAGCCGCGGTTTAGAGAGAGCGAAGTCCCAATGGAATAATACGAGTATCGCAATGCAATTCGACTCGCAATGTAATACGACTATACGACGAACAACTGGATGAGATGCAAACAGCGGGGGAAATCTAGATTGACCTATCGTTGACATTATCGACCAACCGATTTCCTATTTATATAATTTACAATTAGTGGATATCTAGAGAGAAATTGTATAAATATGAAAAATATATTTGTGAGTCTATCTCACATAATTCGGCCGCTCCGCTGTATGTTTTATAAACTATTCCGGTTTGAAAGATATATCGGATATTAAAGTGAAATTACTAGTTACGGGGCATGATGTCGTGCTCCGTAATCCATAATTATATGATGTACCCTACATGTTCCTCCTGCAATACCACTTTTGCAATGTATATATTTTGTTTTCATTGTTAATAATATACCATATCATGTCGACCGTTTTGCTATGACAACTTCTGTAATAAATTCATAAATAAGGATTTGTTACATGATAAGAGGCTAACTGACCTGACTTAATACTCAGTCTTTAATATTCCTCTGGTAACGGGCATATCGTTTGCGCATCCGGAGAACACAATTTCATCGTCAGCCATTAAAAAGGCCAATAAATTACATATTAATTACATATATAATACTTCTGGTTAATCAATAAATCTCTGATCTAACAAAAATGAGAGATTTCTTGATTAACCAGAAGACAGTATTTAGATACTACACGATGTGTATGGATCACACTGTTGAAATGAGTAAATGCGTATTCTATTTTCCATTTCTGCTATCCTATGTCTCTTTATGCATGCTGTCACAGAATACATAAAAGGTGACGCTGTAGAAGTCCGATTAGGACTGAAAGTAAATTACGAATTCTTTTGGGAACGTTAGTAGATACCAGCTATGATTGGGAAGTGGAAACGTTCATTTAAAGAACAGTGAGTTTCTTTAATACCATATAAAAATAATGTAAATCTTTTAAATATAAATATAGAAATAGATATACGATAGTCACCGATTGTGAGCTATCAACGTGGTGATGAACACACCACTTGACATGCATGCTCACATTTTGGGTTTACATATAATTTGACAAGGAATATTATTCCTGTCAGATAGATTCTAAGTCACAAACGTTGCGGTTAAAATGAATTTGTTAATCAATTTGCTCTTATTAATTAAAACATGACGCACCGTAGACAAATAGATAAAAGATTTATTCACATATTTTGCTATATTGTTCAGTAAAAGCTTTTGTGCGGTTTGTCGGTTTACAGTTTGCTCTTATTAATTAAAACGTTAATCACACAACATATTGCACATAATTCTACGAGTACTACTAAAATTATATATTTACTATATATTATGAGTAACATTTTGCTTTTGAAGTTTGCAAGTACTTATTTAGCATCAAAATGAAATTCTTTAAGGGTAGCTTAATGAAAATGTTGGAGAGTATTAAAAATTAAAACGGTATATATTTAATATTATGGATGGGGTATTTAGAGGCATTCGACGACGTCATGAGTCACTGCTTCAACTGATATATACCTACTTTTGGCTGAGTATTCAATTTATGTATTAGGAAGCGAGCTTTATGCCGTCTCTTAGATTAATTTTTGGTTTCAGTTGTTTCCATCACCAGAGAGTCATTTAGGAATATAAATTGACACCATTTTTCTGTTACCGGTGATATTTGATTGCATGATTTTTTTTCAAACTAACGCATAGTGAAGATACCGAGTGACTCTGTAACAATAGCTCTTAAGAACATCACAACTAACATTACACTTTATATATAATTTTAAAATATACGTGTATTTCTGAGCGCTTATTCACATTTCATCAATATCGCCAATTATTTTTACGTATACGTGTGCAATTTTTTCAGCAGAAAATAATATGAGAACTGAGAAAAAATGTTCGCAATAAAAATTCCCGGTATAATTATTACAGTCGACGTTTTTTGGAACCAAATCTTAAATTATTATAGGTTTCACTTTTAATTAACTCGCGCAATAAAACATCAGTGACATGATAATAAATATGAAGTTACAATTTAACCATCTCTTATCGAGCTCTCGGAGTCTCAACTATTGTACTAATTATTTATTATATTACATTCCAGATTGAAGATGTTATCTGGCGGTCTATTCGAAGTTTCGACGCAAAGTTCTGACATTTTCTACTAAGAACTTAATTTAATTCTACCGGAACGAACTTTTTACAATCCGATCTGTGCAGTGGGGAAGATATTGTCAGTAATGAAGGCTGCTTGCTGCTTAATTACTCACATTGTATTATACCACATTCACGTTGTCTCTCGGTCACAATACCTGACTAATTTCTATAGCCTTGGTAACCCCTATTTCTATAGTATAAATACAAATGGGAGTAACAATGCATCATGAATCATAAAAAAACCTATATATGGGTATATTTAACGTTTTATATACTAGACTTAACATGCTGACCCGCGTAACTTCGTCTGCATCATACTTGACATTTATTATTAAATTTTCCCAATTTACATAATAACTTTTAATAGCCTATATATTCAGTAGTTTTTGAGTTAAAGTGTCATCCATACTCACCAACTTTCGCGTTAATAATATTATTAAGATAGGACTAGTCTCTATGATGTTTGAAACTTGACATAAAGCACCGTTCAACATCAATTAGATCAGAACATATGACAGATGTAATTTCAGAGTAGACCACCTGCATATTACGTTGGTTCAGGTCAATTGCATCAAATCAATCACACCTTTGTTTGTGCCCTCTCGTGTATTGGTTGATAAAGTGCATTAATTGTTATATCAGTCGACCATATTTTCTAAGGCCTATTCGCATGATGATTTTTCAAAATCCAATATATCGATGCCACCAGCCAGACATCAAATCTTGGCATGAAATAGAAATAATCTTTATTCAAATAAATTCATTACAAGCACTTTTGAATAGTCATATTTTGATTCTACCACTCATTTGGAATGCAGATTAATCACAAGAAGAATAAGCAAGAAACTTGTGTGTTGCTCTTTTTAATAGATGTTTTTTATACAAATAATTACACTATAACACGTAAGAGGCGATAATAAACATAGAAATCGCTACGCACTCATTATTAGTGTAATCAGATAATATTGTCAGTGCTATGGATTTAAAGTTTTTCTATAAAAACATTATTATCGTTAACGAATTCTTCAATTTTATAGTAAGCTTTTTTGCAAAGGAAGTATTTTATTTGACATTTAAATCTTTTTTCTGGCAGATTTATAGCGGACTCTGGTATTTTATTGTAAAAGCTTACGCAATTGCCATAAAACGAATTACTAACTTTAGTCAAACGACATTTAGGTAAAATCAGTTTGTTATTGTTACGTAAGCTTTTATTAGTGCAATCACTAACTCTTTTGAAACTGCCTATATTCTTCCTAGCATACATGATATTTTCATAAATATATTGAGAAGCAACGGTGAGGATATTTTATTCCTTAAAGCACTCTCGTAAAGACTCCTTGGATCCCATACTATAAATGGAGTGAATGGCTTGTGTGCTTTTATTCAGTAAAGAAGATACTATTAGAAAAGTTGCACATAACTTCTAAACTAAAATGCATGTGTCAGACATGCAAGGTTATGCATGCTAGATTTTGCCAGAGACAGATTGTAAGAAGTAGTCTGCGTAGGTACATCACCTATTTACGCTCCCAAGCAGCTAGTTTGCTATGTAAGGTATTTCGGTTGCAGGGACAGGTTAGACACTCAAATTAGAAGATAAGAGGTATAACATTTTTGTCCTCTGCAATATCAATGCATGAGTGGTATCACATATCATGCTGTTCATGTGTATAGGCGACGATTATCGCTAACCATCAGGTATACCGTCATCTTGTTTGCCATTCACATTACATAAAGACAAATTTGCAGTTTATGGGGACGGGGATTTAATTTTGTAATAACATACAAAATAATATTGCGTAACTATCTCAGAATAAATAAAAAGTTACATTATAATTCAAACATTCCCACTGGGCACAGGGTGTTTGCTCACGACAACCGTTTATGTAGTACATGACCGTGGCTTTTAATATTGGATATGTAACTAAAACAACAAAAAAGTATAACATTTCAATTGAAATCTCATATCAACTAAAACTCTACAGTTTTAGTTGATATGATATTTTAGTATAGGTATATTATATATATATTTTACTTTTAAAAGTAATATTACCAACTGACATGAATATCAGTGTATAAAATGTTCAACGTGAATAAATACTTTTTAGTTCAATTTGTATAACAAAACTGTCAATAGCATCATAAATTAACAGAGTGATCTACTTAATGATACTGTACACGCACATTTGCTAGCGTACATTACGTCCCGTAGTGATTAACTACCCTAACTTGTTGACAATTTTAATTAAACTCTCGACTGATGCTTCCCTGATGTACATATAATTAAATATGCATGCATAATTGCTGTTATTTTCCCACAATTTTGTTTAATATTTATGAAGTGGGTCAAATGAACGGTTTTTGTTAAAATAAATCAGTTCTATTACATACAAAAGTTAATTTGGAAATGGTAAAGTTTATATTATAGATTTAGACGATATAGATATAAAACACTTCATTTGTAAAAAAACATATTATAAAACTTAAAATTCGTAGCGCTGACATATTATTTGATTGAATGCGTAGCAATTTTTATTGTGTAATTATTTATTTTAAATAACATCTATTTAAAAAACACATAACACTCAAGTTTCTTTCTCATTCCTCTTGTGATAAGTCTGCGTTCCGAATGAGTGGTAAAATAAAAAAATATGACTATTCAAAATGGCTTGTATTGAGTTTACTTGAATAAATAATATTAATATTTCTGATGTTATAAAAATCTAAAATATTATGAATTTACTTTTAGCTGTTTAAAAATTATGGCATAGCACATTCCCTTTCTTTGCTATTTTAATTATATTAGTATATATTATAGTATGGGAAAAATCATTTTAATATATTTGTTAAAATATTTATTTAATTATTAAGATTTACTTTAATTCTTATATATTAACTAGCTATACTCGCGCCTTGGTCTGCGTGGAATTTAACTTTATTTTTCTAAAATAAAAGTAGCCGAAGTTACTCCTTATTACATCAGCTACATGCCAATAAAAGTCCCGTCAAAATCGGTCCAGCCATTTCTGAGATTAACCGGAACCATTATATACATCAATATTATATGTATTTATTAAGTTACATAAAAAATATAAGGTACTAGTAATATTTTAAGGATTATATAAAGTGAGTATTATACGACAATATTTATTATTAAATGGCTAACTTACTGAATTTCCTTTTAACTAAAATCTAATTATATTAATTATTTTCTAAGTAACATTTTCGACAATAAAAATAATTAGTGTATGACTTACTAAATAAAATTCTGGAATAAAACTACGTCATAGTTTGAAAAATTAAACATTTTTAATTTAGAAATTCCAAAACTGTATATAATTATAAAAATCCGAGACTTGTAAATTGGATATATGAAATAAACATTGTATCTATTCTGAGTGTCGTTGGACCGTCGTTATTAAAACTTTTTGAGAGATTCTACTCTTAACTATAAGTGGAGAGAACTCATACCTAAAATACAGGTTTCTACTAAGTGTAGGTCCCTGGTGGTGAACAATGTAAAACGAAACAGATACTTACATTGTATAGGGCGGCGAGATGGTTGGAGGTGGCAATGAGGAACGGCTGGTTGACTCCTGGGTGGTCCAGGTCATGAGCTATAGCAGCCAACAGCGACGCCATTATCTCCAACGGTTCCATATGTTCTCGAATCTGACATAACAAGATGAAAGTACAAATGAATAATAAACGATATATCCATATATATATATATATATTATACTCATATATTTAAAATATATTACTGAATAAGTTATTAGAGTTCTGTATGTAATACGTAGTATATGTATTAAATTTCTGCATTGCCCGTCAGCTGCCTTCTAAACCAGGGCTAATACCATCACACCTATAACATAGTTTATTTAGTTTAAAGATACTGCATATATACATAATTATATTACAATACATTAGGCCGTCATATTGAATACATTATGTTAATATACTTAATTTTGTTTCAGGAAAATTCCTCTAACTACACGTAGATATGGTTAACAGATTTCTTAGAATTAGCTACCCAAACACATGTTTCAAGAAAAATAAAGTAGGCCAACAATGGGCATATTGTGATGGTAATCACTGCACTAGTACAAACAGTACTATTTTATATTCTGTGGCATTGGGCTCGAAGTAATGTAATCCTGTGACGCCAGAAGTTACTGCATATGAAACGTGAAATGAAAATTCCATATTCTAGTTACATATTTAGAATATCAATCACTCAACCAACTGATGTCATCATCACTATCTACTAATGTGATGTAATCGTTTGATCAATCAATGTATACCTATAAATATATTAACTATCTTGTTCTCTCAAATAAGAAAATGACTGACTCATTATGATTATAAAAGTACTGCAAAAATTTGACATTTTGCAGTTGAGTTCCACATATAGGGTGACTAAATAAAAGTGTAAGGGGTAACCTTACACTTTTATACTACTCTATACCAGACTAAACGCCACATAAATGAAACCTAATTAACTTAATTGAGAATCAAATTGGATATCTGAGATTGAATTTAGAACTTCTGATACAAAATTTAACACATGACATATGACAGCGCGATTTGCACGAAAGTTGAAAAAATATATAATCCATTATTTTTGTTCAATTCGTTCTGTATAAGGTATCACGTGGGTTTGGTATACTTTTTATAACTATCCGTGTAAAATAATAACAAAAATAAATTAATATCATCTATTAGAAAGAAAGAAAGTACTACCATTACGAATGTTTCCATATATCCGTTGGCTAATAGAAAGAGTTTAGAAGCGAAATTGACAGCCTCAACCTTTTGTGTTCCTCATTTCATGGTCATCCGTTATTGGCCAGCCTACAGCCAAACGCGAATCATTAACACATGTAGAAGCACATTGCCATTATTATATCTTGAAACATATTTAGTACTAGGAACTCATCCGGCTTCGGTCGTGTGCGATATTTAGATTTTATTTTTAATATAATATAAAGCCAAGACCCAGAACCCGGGTTATTTGGGTCCCTAAAATATGGACGAGCGTAGTGATGGCTGGCTCATTCATCATACTTGTGAATGAGTGAGACTTTGAGTGCTTGTAGAGACTTTGTAGTGATTAGAGTAGACCTCTAATTACTACGTCTGATTTACTCTTATTTAGAGACCAACCAGTTGGTTGTATATTTTATATTTTGACTCTAATTAAGTAGTACTAGGGGCTAGATTGTATTGTCAAACATTTCATCTTGTGATGAGACAGCTTTCGGAATGATTGATAGATTCAAGAAATATGTATGACTATTTGAAAGAACAAATTTTAAGTTTATGTGAATAAAGAATTTTGTATAGCATTCTAACAATTCACTCAGGATACGGAAATAAAATCATTCCTCTTTATATGATATCGTTGTGCAGACTGTAGCACTTCTACAAATAAGGGGACTCTTAACGATACCTCGTTTCCTTCACGGATTTGCCACCAAGCGATTTAGCTTGCACTTTGCACCGTTAGCTGCAAAGTACGGAAATATATGTATTTCTAAAACAATTCAATTTGATCTGGACTCACAAAACATTTTTTGCCGTGAGCTTTTAATGTCTTTATGCATTTCCATTTCGATAATAAAATTTCAATAACTATCATGAACAAAGCTCTTTGTTGGATTATTGCTTTCTATAGAATTTTATAGTTATTGCATTCCCTATAATCCATTGATCAAATAGACATCTTTTAATGGAACAAACTTGTAATCTTCATATTCCCTGTACGGGTTTTTTATTTACAAAAACAACATCTGAACAAATGCTCCATACGCGCAATTGTTCAATTGTTGTTTTTGTAAATAAAAAAAACCCGTAAAGGGTCGGGTAATACTGTTACGAGCAATATGTGAAAAAATGGAGCATCTTAAAATAACGAATTTCATATGAAATTGTATACACCGTTGTTACCCAATATACGGTTTCAATGAGTCTGGTAGAATAAGGAACCAAGAAAACTGTCTGGCAATTTAGGAAACTCAGTTTAATAGTTCTCTCAATAATATATATAAATTTCAGCTTTATTAAAATGACGTAAGTCTATTTCTAAAATAGTATAGTTTAGGGGGGTCCGGCGGGGGGTCAGATCCACACTAAGTGTCTGGCAATGAGCAGCGCAAGTTATAATAATGCTACGAACAATATATGAAAATATGGAGTTTCTTAAAATAACGAATTTGATATGCAATTTTTTACACCTTTGTTACCTGGTACCTGCCACAGGAACCACGATCCAGGTTTCAAGTTTGGGGATCGTTCTTAACTGTGTTGGGGACACACATACAAGAACTTTCACGTTTACTAAAATGACGTATGTCTAGCCATCGTGGGCTCTTGCTCTACTATCAAAGAACGATGGAAATCTATTTTATGATCATAACAATACATGCTGTATTGTTTTCTATGGAGTCGCTAATTGAAATATCTAATTGGAAGATTTCAATATAATACGATTATGGTGGTTAAATACGGCTAATAATATTGTTTGTCTTTTATATAACAAAATATTCATTTAACATTTTTAATATTAGTATTATTAAGAAAATATATCATTATAAATATTAAGTCACTTTGAATATGACAATTATTAACACATAATTGGTTTTAAAGAGGATTCTCTTTAATTTTTTATTTCTTCTTTATTGCTATACACAAGTTGCCAATTTAATGCCCTATGGCCTTCTCGACTAGCAAATTATCGCGTAAAAGCAGAATCTAGTTAAAGGATAGTAATGAGAAAGCGCACACTTTTAAGTATTTACCTAACTTAGTTAAACACGTCTTATTCTATTATATTATTATGTAAACTATAATAATACCTAGTTTTTATGTGACGGTATTTGCAAAAAATCTAGCGTCCCACTGGCAAGTTGGACGCTATCACTCGTCATGCAACGTTTACCACTCATCCACAGTTGAGTATGACTCATAAAAATTGCATATAACACACATGAACAGCGTCACGTCATCACGCGAGAGCATCGTTTTCATCATGCGATAACATTCCGGAGTACAAAATGATAATATGATACGGGAGTCCAGAGTACACAAATTGGTTAGATTTGTCAACCGAAACACAGCTCAGAAAACCAGCTGATTGACATAGTTGGAATAAGAAACTTTATCATTTTCACAGATGCATTTAAACAATGCGCCAGCAATCCTTTTCAACCTAAGGAAGTCGCAAGAGACCACAACACAATAAAGTACAAACACCTCGTTGCAAGACGGATAGAGACTTTTTTAATACTATTTAGAAATGAGCAACTTCATTGTAAAACTTGTTGCAAGACTCGACTATGAGAACAAAGCACACTAGTACAATGTACATCAGTGCAAAGCAAGGAAAAGCTCGTAATAAAACCATATAAAATTAGTTAATTACTTGTGTAATAAAGATAGACAAGTACCAGTATTGTTCAGTTGTTCAGGACTCTGGATCCGAGCCGCTGGATGGTTCGGCGTATTCTATTCTTTATATAGTGGTTTTGTTACTACATTTTCTCTTTTACTTCTTATTTTTTTGATAGCTATTTAAAAATAATATAAAAATTATAATATGCGATATTATAATTTTTCTTTTGTCTATTTTCAATATTAGGTATTGTTAAAAATGTAAACTCTCCAATAACTTGTTAAATATTCTTTCTGCTATACGACACTTTCAGCTACACAACAGACAAAATAATAATATTACAAGACTCATTTGTGACTAATGTAATTACTAATGTAATTAATTTTATAAATTGAATTATTTCATAATAAAATATGAATTAAAGTATACAGATCTGATGGAATAATGAAAATATTACCCGATAATAAACTATTGAATTTCCAAAGATTATAAAATAAGCTTGATATATAACATTATCTTTAGCTATAACTCAAACGGTTTCACAATTGCCCGAGGTTCTCGAGGAAATTTCTAAGGTTTGTGAATTTATCACATCTGAATGTTACGTAATTACATAATGATACTGCATTTATTTTCTGAATACGCAGCGACAGTGTTAATGTAAATGAACAACTTCCCACCAAGGGAATAAAATGTAGTCAGAATATGAATATTATTATTAAATTTCTGCTACGTACGGAGGCCGCAGTACTGCGGTAACGTGATCAATTTAGTATTAAACCGCGCTTCCACCAAAAATGCATTTATAAACGTATAAATATGCTGAAACATTTTCAGCCACAAAATATGCTCATATATTAAACCATCATGGTTAAAAAATATTAAATATTTATACAAGTGAAAATTTCGTAGTTCTACAAAATACATTTATACAACGAATATATTATTATTTTATTTGCTTGTACTAGTAATTAATAAGGAGAGTAAGTTCATTTTATTCATACATTGTCTATTGTTCATGGATTAATATGTTAAGTATTTAATCGAATTAGGTGTTATTTTGTCAATTTCACTACTCGATGGATTTATATTATTTTATTCACTGGAAAAGGTCGTGGCGCTGGTCAGGTTTCCACACCGAATATTGGTAGTCTCACACATGTTAATTGTAGCGGAATTAAACAAAATAATATAAATCCATCGAGCAGTAATATGTTAATATATGTTAATAATATGTTTCGAGGTACGAAAATTCTGTGCCAACATCAAAATTGATACC